CTGCACCAGAGCCATGTGATTCCCGAGGTCTGTCTGGCTATTTAATTACCAGATTCTTATCCTGACAATCGTATACGGAAGAGCAGCCCCAGGAGACTGAAGGACAGAGGAAGCTCGTGGGATCTTGGTGTCCAACGTCAGTGCTGCAGCATTTTTCAGCAGCCAGTAGAAAAGCATTAGCCTTTATAAGCCTGGTCTAAGTACATCTACACTCCCCATGACTCTGGTCAGTGGTGGGTACATGTACCCAGCCCACAAAGAAGCCAGACAGGCCAAAAGTAGCCACAAATCCAAGGATTTATCTGGACACTGAAAACATCTGTAATGAAGAAGATGAAGCTGCGTTTCCTCTTTCAGCACAGGACTGGATATCCCAAAAAAAAGGCTGTCATCCTGCTTGGCTACATGTTCTTGTTTAATGCAACACGGGAAAAAGCAAAAGAATTAAAAGAATTAAGGTTGTGTGGCTGTTTGTACCTTCAGCAGATTCCTGCCGGAGCCCTGCATTGCGCAAGGAGCAAAACCAGGAATCCTGAATTTTGCTTTAACCGATACAAAATCCATTCCTTACAAAATCAGCTCTCAAATGGCACTACAGACAGTCATGAAATACCTGGAATCTACAGGAGAGCACACAGAGCCAGACACACAGCACTTGTATCTGCAACCCATGTGTGTGCAGATAGGACAGCAATGGAATTCCAGGCTTCCCAGGTGGGCTGCAGCCACGAGAAACCACCTCGGAACACAGAAGCAAGGAAGTCTGACTCTCCTGCTCTGTCAAAAAGCAACTCTGCTTTTCTGCCCAGTTTAAGCAGCAGCACGAGTGGCTTTCCTTTTTTCTGAAAGCAGGATAACTAAAGAAGGAAGGAGTGGCAAGGAGGAGAGAACTGAACCACTGTCTACCTTTACACTTCCCTCCCCGGCTGTGGTTTACAGGTTAGAAGGTAAGAGCTGCCTGCAAGAGCTGGGCTTAGAGCGAAAGCCCCACGGAATTACTCAGAGCCCCATTAGACAGGGCCCCACCACAAGAGCTTTGGATCTGCACAACGTCAGTGAGGAGCCTTTCTCTTCTGCAGGATCTCTCAGCCCTTTTTTCCCCTCACATGAAGAAAGTGGCTCTACACAACCCCAAGGAGTCCAATTCCCAATGGTTAATGCCCAGGAATGAGCTGAGCTCTCCCCTCCCCAACCCGGAGCCTCAGGGAGCAGCAGCAGAGCCAGAGATGCTGCGATAACAGTTAAGTGCTGTGGCCAGAGCTGACGAGCAATTTTCCAGTGTCCTCCCACCAGGAAAAAAAGGATCACAAACCCTCTTTTATGCTTTCAGCTCAGTAAATGCTCATCTCAAAACCGATAAGGGCTTGAGTATCCCCAGTGCTCTGCTCTCTTCAGACCATGCCATCCCCTGCAGGCAAGGTACAGGCTCCAGGTCGGGGATCTCTGCGGGATCAGGACTTGGATACATGGCAGACAATTAACACCACTGGAAACAATGTTTAGAGCCCAAAAGCTCTGCTTACCTCACGTTTAATTTACGCTCTTCATCGCTGCCAACCTCCAGCTGAGGAGAGAAAAGAAGGATACAGAGAAAGTTACATGTTGGTTGTTTCCACATTATAACTATAAATAAAACCCCGGCACTTTTTAAACCCATCCCTGCAAAGAGAGGGTGCAGGTTTTTCTTCCCGGTGCTAGGGATAAATGAGACTCCCTAGTCATGCCATCAGCACCGGCGCCGGGTGACAAAGGGGCTCACGGGGATTTTAAAGCTATTAGGTCCTAATCCTGCAAGCTGGGCCTGGAGCACAGATCGGTTTGACGATGATGGTCACGGAGCGCACACATCGCGGCCACCGCGCACACACGTGAGGGCAGCGCTGGGAACCGCGGGCTGGGCACAGGGAGAGCTGGGATTCGGGGGCACGGGGACAGCACAAGGACACAGCCCTCAGTGCCCTGCTGGGGCTGTCCCAGCTCCAGCAGCTGAACCCCTACCTGGCACCACCAACCCCAGCCACTGCTCACACCGGCAGCACAGCAAGGCCATCTCCACCTTGAGACCGGCCAGGACAATGCCCACCTGGTTGCCCAGGCATCAACAAGTCCTCCATCTGCTGCTTTTCTGAGGGACGCGCTGCTCTGGTGGCAGGTATGGATTAAAATGGGCACTTTTTCAACAGGTAAGTCCCCCTGGAGGCAGATCTGGCTGCTCTGGTGACATTAGCGGCCCTCACACTTTATTTACCCTTCCCAAAGCAGAAGTGTGGCTCCAGCCTGCTTCCAGAAACGAGCATTTTCACACAGCCCTGCTTTCCAGCCGCCCCTTCTACTTTCCTATTAGCTTCTGGACAAAATTCCTTATGAAAGGAAAACAGAACTGGGGCTAATTGCATCCAGAGCTGACAAAAAAACAAAAACAAAAAAAAACAGGCTCAAAGATAATTCTCCTCCTTTGGTCCTTGTGGGTAGACAGGGCCTGGCGTTCGGAAGATTTCGGGATGTACGGAAAGAAAGGGACCAACCCCCTCCAATGCCTGATAGCCAATAGTAGCTAAGAGATAACGTAAGCAGACGGAAGTGACAATGTAACTAAACCTTATAAAAGGCCATGTTACAAACTAATAAACGCCATTTTACCACCCACCACAT